GGATCATATCGTTTGCAAATAGGGAGAGTTTTACTTCCTCTTTGCCAATTTGGATGCCTTTAATTTCCCTGTCTTGCCATATAGCTCTTGCTAAGACTTCCAGCACAATATTGAATAGGAGTGATGACAAAGGGCATCCTTGTCTGGTTCCTGTTTGCAGAGGGAAGGCTTTCAGTTTCTGTCTGTTGAGTGTAATATAGCCAGCCACCTGTTTTTAATCCACACATATTTATATAAACAAGGCATCTCTAGGACCTTGGGATGTGCCCATAAAGCTGCTATGGGTTTTCTTGATGCTGACTAGCTCTACATCATCTTTTGAAGAGCTCTTTCCTAATCGCACCAGGCGTATGTGTCTTAAAAAGTCATCAAGTAGGTGCACAGGTGGGGCAGGAACCCTGCCCCACTGTGCCCCTATGGGGCCTCCCCCCACCTAGGGCCCTCCCCAGCCCAGCACCCCAGCTCCACCCTGAGGAGAGGCAGGAGGACCAGAAGGAGTTGCTGACCTCTCCCTCTCCTGCCCCTTGCTGCTTCCCACAGAGGCCCCTCCAGAGCTGTCCCCTGCAGAGCCTGAATTCCGGTGTACCGAGTGCGTGATGGATCTCGGCCTGTCTGAGGACCACTTCTCCCGTCCCGTGGTAAGGTGTGGGGGCCCAGGAGGGAACAGGATGGATAAGCCCTAAGGCACAGAGCCTGCACGTGGTGGGTACCACGATTTGTTGGCTGCCATCTCCTCCCTTCTAAGCCACTCTCCTTAAGCTTAGCAAGCAGTCTCCACCTCAAGTCAGGACAGGAGCCCTAAGCCTTGAATCTGAGGTGATCATGCCTCTGACTGCATCACCAAAACGTCTTTGAGGACCACGGAGACAGCCTGAACCCAGGACAGGTGGCATAGTGGAGGCTGGGGCCTGGGGCTGTACCTCCCTCCTTCCCTTCAGATGTTTGAGAGCAAAGTCTAGAGTGTTGACTCCCATTCTAGGGGGTCCTGTGCACAGAGTAGGAGCAGGGGAGTAAAGGGAGTGCTGCCCACCTCCCAACCACAGCTAGTTTCATCAGTTCTAGACTGGGATTTCATTGAATTCTTGTTATGAAAGCATAAAGAACTTGAATTTAAAAAACAATGAAAACCTTTTGACTTTATGTAAGCCTCATTCAACTTTGACTGAACAGAACCCTAACATTAAAATGCAATTTCGTTGCACTGTGACTGTTCTGTTCCTGCAGCGTTACTGTGATGATGAATAGAGTTTGCGTTTCCACTGGGGCCCTCTGGTTCACACTGCTCTAGACTTTCTAAAAATTTTAAATACCATGTCCTTTCCTATATTAAGTCATTTAGTGCTTAAAATAAAACAAAATGTAACTTAATTTTAAAATGTCACCCAGAAGCGCCAATCCTAATTCCTTTTTCATTTTGCCTGTAGCCCTTAAGTAGACAAGCATTCATGTACCTATTCTGTGTCTCTTAAACAGCCTTTTCAGCACTTCTTATAGACACAGACTGATGGGAGGCACAACCTCCTCTTCCCTGGGATCTCAGATCCCCACGCCTGAGCTCTTGAGGGTGGGCAAGTCCTTTTCCTAGCCTGGGACTGAGCACGGGTCCTCCAGGGTGCTGTGTGGGAAGGGCAATCAGTGGGCTGGGGCAGGGGTGCCTTCGGCTGCTCTGAGCTTGTCAGGGAAGCCATCCTGTCTCCAGGAGGAAGCTTGCTAAGAAAAGGAAGTGAAATGCAGAAAAGCATCTACAGCAAAGTAAACAGATACCTAAAAGAAGGAAGTTGCCTTTGAACAGCATCCTGGATTAGGTTTTCAGAACTCTGGGCCAGGAGTGAATCCCACCCTGACTGCTAACTCACCTGTGCCTTGAGCCTGAATTTCCTTCTTTTAACTAGGGACTGTGGTCCCTCCTGGTGTAAGGGTCTATGGGGTTGGCCCTGCCTCGGCAGGGGTCTGAGCATCTGTCCACCTGGCAGGGCCTGTTCTTGGCCTCCGATGTGCAGCAGCTACGACAGGCCATCGAAGAGTGCAAGCAGGTGATCCTGGAGCTGCCAGAACAGTCAGAGAAACAGAAGGACGCCGTGGTTCGACTCATCCACCTGCGGCTGAAGCTCCAGGAACTCAAGGTGGGGTTGCCCAGGGACCCCCATGTCTGTATTGTTGTTGTTAAGTACCGTGGACTCATTTCCGACTCATAGTGACCCTGCACAGGGTTTCCGAGGCTATAAATCTTTGCGGGAGCAGAAAGCCTCATCTTTCTCCCGCGGAACAGCTGGTAGTTTTGAACTGCCGACCTTGAGGTTAGCAGCCCGATTCGTAACCACGATGCTACCTGAGCTCCTTCATCTCTGTATGTTGTTGTTGTTGAGTGCTGTCGAGTCGGTCCCGACCCATAGCGTCCCTGAACAGTGTTTCCAAGGCTTGTAAATCTTTACGGGAGCAGAAAGCCTCCTCTTTCTCCCACAGAGCAGCTGGTAGTTTCGAACTGCTGACCTTGCAGTTTGTAGCTGGATTCATAACCACTACGCTACCAGAGCGCCCATCTCTGTATAGAGGGAGGTAAAGATCGGCCCTTCACCCATGTTCCAAAAATTAATTTCAATTACTCTAGACTCAGTTCGTTACAAAGGACAGAGACCCAACCTACGTTAACTTAAACCAAGAAGAGAATAGTGGCTTGGTCCTGGAAAGATTTCCGACCAGCTTTCATGTCAGGTCCATTCTCAGGCAAGCTCTCCCCCACGGGTGGCAGAAGTACCCCAGGAACTGTGACCTCATTCTTCCTGCTCATCAGTCCCCATACATATGGGAGGTTTCATTCCAGGGGTTAAAGAGAGTCTCAGGCCTGACTTTCATTAACCAATCCCAGGTCACATGCCTACACTTTAACTAATCCTGGTGATTGGTCAGGTCTGGGTCATGTGTCCACCCCAACCAATCATAGTGACGGACTGGCCAGGCCTGGGTCATATGCCCATGGACTGCACACACAAAATGGGGTTAATTTCACTTTGAATCATCTGACCCAGAGTGGGAGGGGTTGGTTTTCTCAAGAGGCAGAAGTGGGAGTAGATCTTGGGGGTGAGAACTGTAGCTGTCTCCATAGTAGTGTGTTCCTGGCTGGGCTGCGCCTGCCCTGCTCTGGTACATGTCTCTGGGGATTTAGAAGGTGGAATAGTCATTAGGATAAGGACAAGGCAGTGGTAACAAAGATACTGTACAGTACAATGGCTTAAATTTTCCCCTCAAGTACCCATGGTACATGGCCCAGAGCTTTGTGTTGACCTTGGGGCCTATCTTGTTGCTGTGCCCATCCCTGGAGGAATCCAAGATGGCCCCACTCCACACCTTCTGGATGCGCACCCCAGGGAGCAGGGTAAGGGGCCTCTGTCCCTCCTGCTCACATGCCCTTGGCCCCAACGCAGTCCTACAGCAGTACCTTGCTGCAAAGGACGCTGGGAACGGTTGTCTGTATGCACAGTGGCCATGCTGGGTGAGCACTGGGGTCTTCTATGGGAGACAGAAATCTTAGCTACAAATGGTAACTGAGCTCAACTGTGTCCTGCCTTTGTCCCCTCACAGGACCCCAACGAAGATGAACCCAACATCCGAGTCCTCCTGGAACACCGCTTCTATAAGGAGAAGAGCAAGAGCGTCAAGCAGACCTGTGACAAGTGTAACACCATCATCTGGGGGCTCATCCAGACGTGGTACACCTGCACAGGTGAGCTGGTGACCCAGACTTGCTTCAGCTGGGCATGTGGGCTGGGTACTGGGACAGAGCAGAGATACCGCCCCTCCCCAACGCCACTCGCACGTCTGCTGTGTTCAGTAATGCTCTCCAGTGTCATCAACATTTACTGAGCCCTGTGTAGTGCTGGCAGTACCAGATTTGAACATCAGAGTCACGCACAGACTGTGCTATCCAGGGTGATGGTTCTAGCCGCATGTGGCACCTCAACTTTATATTTATTAAAATAAGTATGCTAAGAATACAGTTCCTCAGTCCTACAGTTTGCATTACCAAACACTTTGGCCACAGGAGACTCTGCTGGTCGAGAATATTTCTGTTGTTGACAGTTTCTTATAGTGCTACCCAGGATGATACGTCAGTCAGAGAGCAATGAAGGGAATTGTGGTGGTTATTACATGCTAATGAGTCATTTCTGACTCATAGTGACCCTGTATGGGGTTTCCAGGGAGCAGTTGGTGAGTTTGAACTGTTGACCTTGTGGTTCAAACTGACATTGTGGTCCAGTACTTATCTACAGTACCGGGGAATAGTGTGTATTTGGGGTGAGGTGCCACTAAGTAGCATGGAATTAAAAGGTGGTGGGGTGTGTGCCGTGGAGTCAATTCTGACTCATGGCCACCCTGCATAGGGTTTCTGAGGCTGTAAATCTTTATGGGAGCAGAAAGCGATACCTTTCTCCCATGGAACAGCTGGTAGTTTCAAACTGCTGACCTTGAGGTTAGCATCCCGATTTGTAACCACCATGCTACCAGAGCTCCTTGGAATTAAAAGGTATTAGGTGACATTTAAAGTAAAAACCTGGGTATATCTGGGGAAGAATATTCTGGCAGAGGGGACCATTCATGCTGAGGCCCTAAGGTAGGCATGTGTCCAGTACCCTGAGGAGCAGAGTGTGGCTGAAGCACTGTTTCTGACAGGGAGTGGAGGAGAGCTAGGCTTAGGTAGCCAGGGACTTTTCCTGAGTGTAGTGGGGACCCCAGGTGGGTGTTAGACAAGGCTTCACAGGGTCACCCTTGTGGTGGGCTTAGGGGCAGCTGTTGGAATAGAATCAGCCTAGCTGCCAAGTTGGCAGGGGGGTCCTGGTAGCTGAAGGTAAGCCAGGGCCGCAGGTTGTCCCTCCCTTTCTCAGAGCCTCATGTGATTTCCCCCCTCCCCAGGGTGTTATTATCGTTGTCATAGCAAGTGCCTGAACCTCATTTCCAAGCCCTGCGTCCGCTCCAAAGTCAGCCACCAAGCCGAGTATGAGCTGAACATCTGCCCCGAGACAGGTCTTGATAGCCAGGACTACCGCTGTGCTGAATGCCGGGCACCCATCTCTTTGCGTGAGGCCCGGGTGGCTGTGGGGGTGGCGGGGTTGAGGGTTAGGTGGGGCACATTGGAGAAATAACATTGAGGCGCTGAGGGGCGGTCCCTGTCAGACTGGGGGCGGGGTGGTCCTTGCTGGGGGTGGCCAGCATCTTATTAAGTTCAAGGAAGCTGAAGGTCAGGCTCTCCTTCCTGTGAGAAGAGGGGTCGGGAGAAAATGCATAGCAGTGCCAACTGTCTTCCTGGACTGACTGGTAGACCATTCCTGGGACGGGCCCATTGTAGTTATGACAAAACTGAGGCTCAGAGAAAAGCAGGAAGAGTTGTGTTTGGAAGAGGTTGGCTGTGGGCGCATCACACTGGACAGTGAACCGCGTGGTGTGATGCAGTGGACAAGCGCTCACGCTTCCTCAGCCCTACCACTGTCCTCCACAGGAGGTGTGCCCAGCGAGGCCCGGCAGTGTGACTACACCGGCCAGTACTACTGTAGCCACTGCCACTGGAACGACCTGGCGGTCATTCCTGCTCGTATTATCCACAACTGGGACTTTGAGCCACGCAAGGTGGGGCTGCAGTGTGGGTGAAGGGGACCCCTCCCAGAGCGGTGGGGGCATGGTTCCGGGTCAGGGGGCACGATTCTAGGGCAGGGTGTGGTGGTTCGGGAAATGAGTCCACTGAGCAGACCTGAGGGGACAGAGGGCTGGCCCTAGGTAAGAGGGCCAGGGGCCATGGCCTACCCTGGGCGGAGAACTGATGGAGAGGTCCTGGGTTGGGGGTGAGGGACAGGCACCAGACACTTAGCTCCTCCCAGGTGTCCCGCTGCAGCATGCGTTACCTGGCCTTGATGGTGTCCAGGCCTGTCCTGCGGCTCCGGGAGATCAACCCTCTGCTGTTCAACTTCGTGGAAGAACTGGTGGAGATCCGGGTGAGGGCTTGAGGAGGGGCCGGGAATGGGGGCATCGGCCTCTGGGTGATGAAGGAGAGTTGTGTGTCTCAGGGTCCTGTCTCCTCTGGGTGAGAGGGGGCAGCAGACGGGATCTGGGCTGAGTCTGGTGGGACCTCGGCTTTCTTCCCTAGAGCACAACCAAGAGGGATGTGGAAGCCCTTTGAGTAATTTAACTTGTCTGTAGCCACTGTAGGATAAGCACAGGACTGCTAACCACAAGGTCAGCAGTTCCAACTCAGCAGCTGCTCTGCAGGAGAAAGACGAGGCTTTCTGCTCTCCTAAAGATTGAGTCTTGGAAACATTATACAGGGTTGCTATGAGTCGGAATCGACTGAATGGCAGGTTTTTATTTTTTTTGGTAGCCACATGGAGCCCTGGTGATACAATGGGTTAACCACAGGGCTACTAACTACAAGGTTGGCAGTTCAAATCCATCAGCTCCTCCAAAGGAGAAGGATGAGACTGTCTACTCTGGTAAAGATTTATATATAGTCTCAGTAACCCTATAGAGGAGTTCTGCTCTTGATTAAGCATTTCAGAGTTGGGATTGACTCAGAGATGGTGGGGATTTGTTTGTTTGTTTGTTTTTGGTTTAGTAGTCACTTTAAAAGCATGGTGACTGCGTATGATAAGCAGCAGACCATGAACCACAGAGACCGTGGTTGGAGTCCCCCAGTTACTCCACAGGAGAAAGATGAGGTCGCTCTCAGTCGGAGCCCACTGTTCAGCATGAAGTCACTTTGAATAAGTGAAGAGAAACCGATGCAATTAACTTTGATGATGTATTTTAATGCTATATCCAAAAGATGATTTCAGCATGTGACCAATATACAAAATTACTGGGCTAGTTTACTTGTACTAAGTCTGCCAGTTCTGGTGTGTGCCCTATACTGTTGACCATCCCAGTTCAAACCAGGTCCAGCTGAGGCTAGGCACCACTGTGTTAGCCAATGGTGAGAGAGACAGCGCACTGGCCAGTGTCTTGGCGAGGTGGGAGAAGTAGAAACTCAGGTCACAGAGCTGGGGAGGGATGAAGAGTGTTGGGAACCTGTCCTGGGATCCCAGAGGCCGACGGTTCCTCGGGTGGGGTTTTGCTGAGGGGCGTGTGGGGGGACTGTGTGGATGAGCATATACAGGAGTGTTGTGCTATAGAGAATGCATCTCCAGGCACTGCCCCACGTGGGCAGCTGTGGTTGGGGTGTCCTGAGAACTTGGAGGTAGACCCTGGCTCAGGGTGCCCATACCTTTCCTGCTGCAGAAGCTACGCCAGGACATCTTGCTCATGAAACCATACTTCATCACCTGCAAGGAGGCCATGGAATCGCGTCTACTTCTGCAGGTCAGGCGGCCAGTGGATTAACTGGGAGGACGGGAGGCTGGGGGACACGGAGAGAACAGGCTTGAGAAGAGAAGATTTCTCAAACTTTGTCCCAGGGAGCCTAGGCAGGTACCTACTCACAAAGGTAACCTGAGATGGCGTCATGCGGCCTGTGAATCTGTGGTGGGCTGTATGAAGGCAAAGCTGCCCTGAGCGGGGTGAAGGCAGATAGTCTTTTCAAGGCCTCCTAGTTGTTCATCTGACAGGCATTTACTGAGCACCTGCTGTATACAGGCACTGTCTGAGGTCTTAGGGAGCAGGGACAGATCAGGAAGAAGGTGGGGGTAGGGGGCTGAGGGGACAGGTGTGGGAGGAGGGGATGATGGCCCTGCAGGACCCCAGGGGGAGAGGCCACAGTGGCCAGAGCAGACTATGGTGCTGTGGGTTGGGATGGGCAGTGGGGCTCACACCATTTGGGAAATTTGGGCCCCTTCCTGCCCTGTAGACCCTTCAGGCTTCAATTCTGTTGGGGGGCTGCCTGTTACAGACCCCTCCTCAAACTCCATGAGCACCTCTGGGCCTTGGCGGTGGGTATATGCAGATAGCCTGGTGGTGCTGACCTCGTGGGTGTGTTTGGGTGGCCTTGGTAGCTCCAGGACCGGCAGCATTTTGTGGAGAACGATGAGATGTACTCAGTCCAGGACCTGGTGGACGTGCATGTGGGCCGTCTCAGCTGTTCACTGACAGAGACCCATACACTCTTCGCCAAGCACATCAAGCTGGACTGCGAGGTAGGTCCCTCGAGAGGTTGTGGGTCTCTCAGCCCTGAGGGGACGTGGGGGAGGCAGCGAGCCTGGAGCTGGCATTCACCTTGTCCCCAACCCCCCAGCGGTGCCAGGCTAAGGGATTCGTGTGTGAGCTCTGCAGAGAAGGAGACGTGCTGTTCCCGTTCGACAGCCATACCTCTGTGTGCACAGACTGCTCTGCGGTCTTCCACAGGTGGGTGTGGGCTCAGCCCCCTCGGGTTTCCTCTCCTGCCTAGCTTTCCAAGCCCTTCACCTGGAAGTTGAGGTTGGACCTCTATGTCTGTGAGTAAATGAAAGGTTATGGGGAACATGGGAGCTGTGAGGTTTGCTGAGAGGGGGACGCTGCAGCAGCCCAGAGCCATGGTGAATGAGCTGGAGACCCACCTGCCTCCTCCGTGGTGATGGATGTTTCTTTCTCAGGTTTAGCTTAGACCACAGTTCCCCAAACGTTCTCATTTGGGAATCCGCACTGCTCAGAAAAAAAATATTTTTGAAGCCCCCTAGGCCAACAGAAATACCTAATGTTTTCATATATTAAGTGCTTAGGTTCAAAGTACTTAGTATTTACTGTCTAAAGAGTTAGTGGCTATCTAAAAAAAAAGGGCACACACAAATTAGAAGAAAGATAACATTTATTTCGTTCTTATATAAGCAGTTGTTTACTAAGAGGTGTGTGCTGGGACACCTGGGTTCTATGGATCCCGCCTCCTCATGTCCTGTCCACACACGTTTGTATGCGGTACTTGCTGTTTATCACAGCGACTGCCCACATCCCAGCTGTCATACCACAGCAAAGAACACAGTACAATCCAACCCTGAAACAACTTCCCCTACTTGTAGTATGTAGTGTCTGCCAGGCATCACGTGTTCCCTTCAACATTCACTGTCCTGAGGCCTCCCATGTGTTCTCCACAATGCCTGGGTGCCTGTGTGTGTGTGTGTGTATGGGGGTGGGGGGAACCTGTGCAGTGGCAGTAAGAGCTGAGCCCTCATTCATCCTGGTCATGGGACCTAGGTGAGGACTAGTGACGACGGGATCCCATGGAAGACCCCTGTATGCCTTGGGCATGTGTCCACCTTACCCAGGCCTTGTGGTCAAATGTGCCTGGGTCAGATTTCTGTCCCTCAGTGTCCCTGCCTATAGAAGGACAATGGGACTCAGTGTCTGGGGGCTCATAATGCCGCTGACATGCAGAGTCTGGAGGTCCCCTGATCCCATCTCTTCCTTCAGGGACTGTTACTACGACAACTCGACCACCTGTCCAAAGTGTGCCCGCTTGACTCTGAGGAAACGGTCGCTCTTCCAGGATCCTGGACTAGATGTGGACGCCTAGGCTGGGGTGGTGGAGGGCAGCCCAGCACCAATGTCCCGGTGGTGTTCTGCCATGGAGACTTTGGAACCCTCACCTGATAAGCACCATTGTACGGATTCTGCTGGGTCTCACGTTCTAGTGGGGAGGGGAGTTAGGAGGGCTGCTCATCTCTCCAAGATGCAGAGGTATGTGCCCTTTGGAGCCACAGCTGCCAGCCCAGAGCTGGGTCAGGCTGTGACAACTCCAGGGGGGTCTCAAGGAGCAAGCAGACACTATGGATGTTGGCTGCACAGACCAGCTGGGGCCAGAGTTCTCTTCTGCAGGGGTGGTTTGGGGTCTGCCCAGAAACTCCCTCCTCACTGCCCCTGCCCCACCCCCACCGCACGCAGACCCTCACTCATGCTGGCTGCAGCTGTCCCTGTGGACCTTCCTCTCTCGGTCCAGGGATCCTGTCTAGCAGGTGAGAAAGTGTGGACTTGTCACAGTTCCTCTCCTTGTGCCAAGCTAGGCGGCAGGTATGGTGCTGGACTGTGTTAGGGAAGAGTGGGTTATAATTACCCCGTGGCGCTTCTCAGGACGAATTTGCCACCGAGGAAGGAGCTCATCTTGTCCCAGTGCCAAGCTTGCCAGCAGGGTCTTTTATTTGGGGGCCCGAGACCCAAGAACACTGGTTACAGGGTCCTCGTGGGAAGACTGAGTGAGGGTCCCCCCTTCCTGTGATGAAGGCTGTACCTCACGCCATACCTTACGACCCCTTTTCACCTGGGTGGAACAGCTCTGTGCCAGTTGGCACTTTGTAGACCTGGCATCCCAGACATGGCTGAGGGACGGGACATTTGGGGACTCCCGGGAGCAGGACAACCTGCACCTGCCTTTTGCTGCTGCCCCCTCCTCGCCCTGGACTCATCTGTAAGTGCGTGATGGACACTTGGGATGCAGGGACATGGCTCCTGGAAGGTGCCCCATGTGGACTGGACAGCTCGAGGGCGTTGCCTGGACAGTTCAGCAGATGATGCAAGGGGAGAGGTAACAGCGTCAGGTCATACCCTAGGTCCAAGTCTACAAACTAGCAGGTGGAACTTTGTTGCCTCGGGTGGTCCTTCACACAGAGCCACATTGGTCCAGGGTGCCCTGTCCTACTCCCTACCTGCTTGTAGGGGGTGTGGGGGCCACAGGCTCAGTGCTCCCTGTATCCGGATCTGCACATTCCTATCTCATTTCTCTGCTGTGTTAAATTCCCGTCGTCCTCAGTTCACCGCATAGTCCACGTTATGTTGTTCTAGTTCACGGTCACTGTGCCCGCAGAGAATGCTGGTGTGTTGGCACTGGTTGGATGGGATTGGCTTTCGTACCTCTTCCTCAGCATACCTTTCCCACCTGCCCCTTCTGGTTAACAAAGTTTAAAAACAGAATCGTGTGTGGTCTTTGCATGACGTAGCAAGGCGGGACGAAGCCAATAAGGAACTAGGTTACCCGCCAGCTCAATGGTCTCCATAGGCTGAGGGGGTTGGTTGTATGTGTGGGCCAAGCCTACCTGGACAGCATCCAGCTGTCCCAGCGCCCAGTCCCTGGTAATTAAACAACTGTACTGTAGACCTGTGTGTGTGGTGGATCGGGATAGGGCACCACCTGCAGGGGGTGGGAGACTGTCTGGTTGTAGTGAAGAATTTTGGGTTGGTGGGGAGAAACACACTGGTTGGTTGGTGTCAGACAAAATGTGTCACCCTGTGACGGTTGCGTGGTTTTCCAGCGTCCCTTCTCATGTAGAATGGGGTGACATCCCTTGTGGTGTGTTTAAGGCTCACAGAGCATTTAGTAAATGTGCAGTAAGTAGCTGCATCTCTTCCTGGGGTCCTTGAAATGGGACTGTCTCAACCAGTGAGAAGCTGACTGATCATGCATGTCAGAGTGAGCTCAGCAGACCCAGCCAGCTTCTGGGATCTCATCCTCACAGGCCAGTGCCATGAATGAGCCTCACCTCAACCCAAGGTGCCATGAACCCTGTCCCGTTACTCTCTGTATAGAGTTATTCATGGATGAACAAGAGGGAGCCATGAATCCCTTTCAAATGAGTCAAAACAATGCAAATTTCTCTGCAAAAAGACCACCTGTGATGTTGAGCAGGATCTCAGAGGGGCTGTGACCCAGGAAACATCAGTAAACTTTAGAAGCTGCCTTCATCCCTGACCCACAGCCAGTTACACTCTGAGGACTAGGCGGCTGGATGACACACAGTGCCTAAAGGGGGTCTCCGGAGGAGGCTAGATGCAAAGGCAGCTGTTTGAGTCTCTGTGCCAGCAAGCTGCCTCCAACTGCAGACAGAACTGCTATACCCTGGATCGTAGATGGAGGATGTGGTCTTTTTCTTTCAGGTTAAGGCATAGTTGCAAAAATTCCCATTTCCCAGATTCCCTGTATGTTAACATCTTGTCATACTTCGTCTTACTTATTTTATTCATTCTCTTCACATGCACTGAAATTTTTTCTGGATCATTTGATAGTATGATGTGATGATGCCCCTTCACCTATAAATACTTGTGTGACATTCCCTAAAAACACGGCTTAGGTGAATGATCAAAATCAGGTTAACGATACAAGACTATAAAGCCTGCTCTGTTTTTACCCACTTGTCCTTGTAGCATCCTTTATAAACGACCACTCTTGTACATATCCTCCCCCCAAAACATCTAGATCACACATGGCATTCAGCTGTCCTCTCTTTGTTGTTGTTGTTGAAGTGTTGAGTTGGTTCTAAATCATGGGGACCTTTTATGAACTGCCAATCTTGCGGTTCAGTGCTTATCCTATAGCACCACCAGAATTCCAGGTCATCTCTTTGGCCTTCTTTAATTTGGAAGAGTCTGTGACATGGACATTCTTGAAAACAGAGGCCCATTATTTTGAAAGAAAATGTCCCAGAATTTGGGTTTGTGTCCCATTAGATTTTGGCTTTGTACCCTTGGCAGGAATAGCAGAACTGATGTTGTTTTCACTGTCCTCAGTTTATGATATTAGGCGGCACACAATGTCACCTTGTCCCATGGAGATGCCACCTTTGGCTCCTGGGTAAGATGATGTCTTATCAATTACTATATAAAACCTGGTGTTTTATCAATTCTGCCTTGCTAATCCCTGGTAGTCTGTAAGCATTTTGTATCTGCAGTCCATGCCAGTATTCAATTTCATCTCAGAATTGCACTCATTGCTTTAGCATCCATTGATATTTGCCTCATAGTTATAAAGATTTTCTATCATTATATATATTCTGGAGTCCTGGTGTGGCGCCGTAGGATAAGCTCTTGTCTGCAAGTTTGGTGGTTCAAACTTACCAGCCGCTGCTCAGACACCCTATACAGAGTCGCTAAGAATTGACATTATCATCATTCTTTTTACACTTTTTAATGAAAGAGCTTTCCATTTTCTCCCTTTTATTTATGGACTCCTGAGTTCTTACTCAATGGGTTATACACCTTTATTATATTTGATGCTCAAAGTGTCTCAGGCTTTGACCAATGTGAGTTCAAAGTATCCCAGGCTTTGACCAATGAGAGCTCAAAGTGTCCCAGGCTTTGACCAATGAGAGCTCAAAGTGTCCCAGGCTTTGACCAATGAGAGCCCCTACAGACTGTCTGCTGTGTCCCTTTGACATGCTCTTACCACTCTGGCATCCCCACATTCTGGTTTCATTTACTTACCAGTCCCAGTCCTGACACCAACCCTTTCTTCACGGAGTGCTGCTTCTCCTTCGTGATGAATGTTGTTAATAACCCAGATCTGGTGTTGGCTGTGCTCTTTGCTTCTTGGTCCATTCAACAGCCAGCCCTAGGCAAATACCCCATACACCTGTATCTATTTTTCTGTCTCTAACTCTATAAAAACCCTTGAGCTCACACCGATACCTCTAACTGAAATCCAACACCACAGGGTTCATTGTCATTCCCTTGTTTATATTATTAATTTGTTCTTTGATAGAAAACTAGCTCCATTAGCCACCATGTATTTATTTCTTTATGCAATCTCACAACACAGGGGAGGTTTTCCCCCCAAAATTATTAAGCCATGCCTCATGAAATAGAAGCCTACTAACCAGGGATCAATTTTCATTTGCAGTCTTTAGCATTAAGGTATATAGTCAAAATATAGTCTTCTATAATGTTTCTTACTCTTCGTTGGACTGTTATTCATTTGAAATATTCAGGTAAGATAGTCTATTTTCTGTTTTTTTCTTCCCATCTTTGTGTATTTTGTGAGTGTTTGACACACTAATATGGTTCCAAAAGTCAGAGCTTCACAAAAGGTGTTCTCAGGCAAGTGTCACTCCTGCATCTTCACTCTCTGGAAGTAGACGGGCTTGCCTGAGCCTCTTTTGCTGCTACTGGCTTTACCTTGATTACTGTTTGGTTACACATACCGAAAAATGACCTAAGACAGCTGCTTTGAACGTCGCTTTTTCTCATTGTACAATTCTCTATAGCAGTTAATTGCATCATTGATTGCTCTTGAAATTTTCAATTTCCACTCATCATCAGGGCTAGTACTGGTAAGAATTTGCAAGCCAGCCTCAAAATGTGAGAAGGCCGCTGACAAAGCTTCTGTGGTCAGCTGGCGCAGGGCAAGGGGAGCATCTTCACTCTCTTCCTCTCCTGCTGCCCGCTCCTGTTCCAACTGCATCAGCTCCTCGTTTGAAAGATCTTCTTCATGGGACTGCAGCAACTGGCCCACATCAGTTTCTACAACCTCTTCAAAGGCCACATTCTGGGCAAGGCTCACAATATTTTGTTGAAGTCGTACAATGTTATCTGTTTGGGGAACACTATGGAACTGCACACACTCAGGCCAAATCTTCTTCCACAAACTGTTCATTGTCGCTGGTTTGAGCTCCTCCCAAGCCACTGCAATGTTGTCCACAGCATCCATGATGTCGTACTTCCTCCAAAACTCCCTGACTGTAGCCTTGTCCTCCCCATCGGTTGCTTCCAGGATGTGCTCAAAAGTCCTTCTTAGGTAATGAGCTTTGAAAATGGAGGCCACACCTTGACCCATGGGCTGGATTGCATCAGCTGTGCTGTCCTGAAGATACTCTACTCTTACATTATCGGATAGGTCACTCAGATTTACTGGGTGGCATGGTGCACTGTCTAGGATGAGCAATGCTTTGTTGGTGAGATTATTTTGAGCACAGTATTTCTCAACAGCAGGGCAAAAAAAATATGTAAACCATTCGTGAAAGATGCCCCTGGTGGCCCACGCCTTTTTGTTGGAGCGCCAAATCACAGGCAGGTTGGGCTTGGAAAACCCTCTAAGAGCTACAGGATCTTCCGAGTGGTACACCAGCAGGGGTTTCAACTTAAAGTCCCCAGCTGCGTTCCCACCAAGAAGCAGCATCAAGCGATCTTGAGAGGATTTAAACCCCATTTCAGCTTTCCCTTCCACAGAGTTAAACGTTCCTCCGGGCATCCTCTTCCAATAAAGCCCTGTTTCATCTACATTAAAAACTTGCCAGGGGGTGTACTCACCTTCTTCAATGATGCTTTTTAGCACTTCAGGGTATGTGTCCACGTTGCTGCCAGGAGGATTGCTGTTCATCTTAAAGTGGGGTAAACAATGGCGCTCCTTGAACCTCACAAACCACCCTTTACTTGCACTAAACTTTTCCGTTTGAGAGCTTTCACCCTGTTCGCGCTGTAAGTCATCAAACAAGCTCTTAGCCTTCTCCTGGATGGCGGAGACACTCAGGGGCACGTTCCTCTGGCTCTGGTCTTCGAGCCACACACTCAACAAGCGCTCCATGTTCTCCATCACTGCGCTCCGGTGGCGTGTCAGCCGAGACGCTCTCATGGGTGTAGTTATTTGCGAACTCGCTTTAATTTTTTCTTTATTGTCTCGGATGGTTGCCACGGTGGAGACAGCCAGGCCTAAGGTCTTTGCAATCTGGCTGAGCTTCTCACCCACTTCGAATCGCCGTAACACTTCTAACTTGATGTCCAGGGTAATTGCCTTCCGTTCCCTTTTGGAACGTGGGGTAGGAGTTGCATTTAGAGGCCTTTTCCCAGGCATCTTTGCCTTTAAAATGTAACAGAACTACAGCAGTCTCGGGGGATAAATTCTGTGGCCACTCTGGCATAATTTTGGGGGGAAAAAATCTAGAAGTTGTAGCTCGATACGCCTGCAAATGTGGGTACTGTGGGTCTGCCAGGCAACACGGCCTCGACACAAGCAGCAGCGTAGACCTCTGGCGTCCAAATTCCCGGACAGTACAGCTGCAGGCCTACCATAATCAGGTGGGTTTCTGTGGCTCTCGAGGACCAATCCGTGAAAGTGAGTAATGCGGTATAACATATGGAGAATCAGTTCCTTTGGTCATCAGGTACACCCGGGCAGCAGTTAGGGTCAGCTGCCGAATAACGAGGGACGCCTGCAGCTGCGGCTCAGGGGCGGGGCAGACGGAAGGCCTCTCTTTTGCTAGTCGTTTCCAATGGAGAACCGTGAAAGTAAAAGTCCTTGGCTGTACCCGACTTTTAAAAAAATCTAAAGGTGCTGGGCATCACTTAACGCCTAGTCCCAGTCAGTCGTCGGGTTTCTGCGCTCAGATATCTGGGTACGGTAAAGCAGCGATCAGGTTTAAACCGTTAGAGGATCAGGCTATGAGGTAGACACCTAAAGAGAGGTCCCCGAAGGGCGCCGGTGACCCCATGCGCATGTGCAAAGCCTTTGGTGACTGATCTTTTCGGCACTGCGCGTGCGCGCGCCGAGGGGCGCGAACTTGGGGGGTAGGGTATGTCGTACCTGCTGGTGGCCGCAACCGGCAGTAGGGCGGTGGCCAGGCCGCTCGCAGTGCTGTGGCGATGCAGTGGTGTCGTAGGAGGTGGCAGGACGACCGGGACAAGCGTGAGGGTCTTCGGCACCACTCGGCAGGTGAGCAGGGGTCCCTGTCTGCCGGTTCCGGGCGTCAGGGACGGGCGCTGATTGCACTCGACGCGCGGGTGACGCCATCGCCGTGCGCCTACCGGCGCGGGGAGCCGGGGCGGGCACTTTCCAGGTCTCATCATTCCGGTCTCTCCGGCTCTGGCCGAAACTCGGCGACTGATGCTGGCAGCGTCTCTGGCCTAAACTTCCTGCCGCGCGGCCCCTCCCGCCGCCCCACACCCCAGTTCTTCTTCCTTCCACCTCAAGTCTCGCTCCTGCCATCCAAGTTCTTACTCCCTCTCCGGCCCCTGGCACAGGCCCATAGGCCCACTTCCCTCAGAAACCAAATAGCGTCTCCGAAACACCGCCATCGAATCGATTTCAATTCGTAGCAATCCTGTGTAGAGTTAGAGGTAGTCCTGGTGTGTGGATGAGCACTGGGCCGCAAGGTCCGCACTTACCAGTGACGACTGTGTAGGACTTCCGAGGCTGTGAATCTTCCCGGGAGCAGAAAGTTTCCTTTTTCTCCCACTGAGTGACTGGTGCGTTTGAACTGCGAACTTGTGCTTGGCAGTGCCACCAGAGCTCGCCCGCCTCCTCCTGATAGCCAGATGTTGCTCCACCACCGACCCTGGGGTCATCTCTTGCAACTTGCTCTGACTACCAGTCCTGGTGCCCTCGGGGGCTCAGCCGTGGTCAGACCGCTTATACGTACCTCCAGCGCCATTCTCACAATTGCTGCTACATTTGAGCCCATTGCTGCTGCCACTGTGCCAGTCCATCTTGTTGGGGTCTTTCTCTTTTTCTACGACCCTCCATTTCACCAAACATGATATCCTTCTCCAGGGACTAGTCTTTCTTGACTATATGTCCAAAGTATGAGAGACAAAGTCTGGTTGTCCTGACTTCCAGGGAGCATTCTGGCTGTACTTCTTCCACCACAGATTCGTTTGTTCTTTGGCAATCCATGGCACTTTTAGTATTCTCCTCCAACACCATAGCTGAAATGCACCAATTCTTCTACTGTTTTCTGTATTCACTGTCCAACTTTCACATGTGTATGAGGTTATTGAAAATACCATGGCTTGGGTCAAGTGCACATTAGTCCTCAAATTCACATCTTTGCTCATGAACACTTTAAAGAGGTGCAGCAGATTTTCTTAGTGCAATATGTTGTTTGATTTCATGAGTGTTGATAGTTGATTTGAGCAAAATGAAGTCTTTGACAAATTTATCTTTTCTCCATTTATTGTGATGCTATTTATTGGTCCAGTGGTGAGGATTTTTGTTTTCTTTACATTGAGGTGCAACCAGTATCGAAGGCTGTGGTTTCTGATATTCATCAGTGAGTAGTTTAAGTCCTCTTCACTTTCAGTAAGCAATAATGGATGAACATGAGCGCTTATGAACGGTTAGGCTTTGTTTACTTCATAGACATGGCTTGATTCTGACTCCATTTTAATAATAACCTAACATATTGCCAGAAGGCTTATATGCTGCAGGCTTTACATGTGTGTCCCATTTAAGTCCTAACCCATGCTGTAGATAGATGCTGCCAGTGACTCCCTTTATGGAAGAGTAAACAGTTCCCGTCAGCCCTGCTTCAGTGCCTCAGTCTTAACCACTGTGTAAAACACCTTCCTCTGACTTAAACACTGGAACAGTGTTTTGTTTTAAGGGTGGTTTAAATTTTTTTTTTTAATACTTCCCCTGGTAGTGCTGTGGGTTACTCAGGCTACTAGCCATAAGGCTGGTGGTTTAAACCTACCAGCTGCTCTGCAGGAAAAAGGATGATGCTGTTGGTTCCTGTAAAAATGTAGTCTCAGAAACCCTAAGGAGCATTTCTCTTCTGTCCTATTAGGGTCAGTGTGAGTTGGAATGAAGATTCAGCTCAGTGGCAGTGGTTTGGATTTTGGCTTCCTGGTGGGCAGTGCTTCCATTGAATTTTGTTGTTGTTGTTAAATATACTATGTTTAATGCAGTATGTTGTAAGTTTTGTTACTAGGAAAGTACCTGTCTTCAGACAGTTCTAAAAGGATGCCAGGAATCTATTTTCTGTTCTTTTCTCAAGAATGAACTCTTTCCTTTTCATCTCTGTCTTGAGAGGCAGTGCAGACACAAACATGTTAGCTTTAAGTTGTCTCCAGTTGTATCTGGAGGCATGTGAGCGGAGGGGCTGTCCTGTTTGTTAACACGTGTTGAAAGCCAGTCACGTACTGAGTGTATCTCAGGCTAGTTAGCACTGTTGGGTTGTGATGTGCTGAACTTCGGGGACTGCAGTGTCTGTATTTATGAAGAGAGAAAGTTGGGTGATATTTGAGTTCCACCCCAAACTCAGTCATTCCTCTTTCCCTCATAAATTAATGCTGAGAATCTACATAAGGTGTTCAGGATAGGCAGGGGTGGTTAGGGTTTGCTGGCCGAAGGACAGCCAGCCATCCTCCAAGTACACTTACTTCTGGAGGCTTCTGTGTTGTCATTTCTCATCCCATGAGCTGCTTGGTGGAATTTACATACCATGTAAGGATGGAGGGCACAGACAAGCAATAAAAACGCAAAGTATGTAGCCTCTGAGGTAGTTCTCCAGCTCTGACGGACCAGGAAACAGGGCAGAGGAGCTCAGAAAGGAAGAGCAGTACCTGATAGCATTTTTCATATTGTGTCATGTTATCAATATTCTTCTTGAAAATATTCCACCACCATTAATATCAACTCCGTGGCCTCCAAACAACCTCCCCTCCCCCTGTCCTGCTCTCCCACCTCTGGTTGTTGTTGTTGTTGTTAAGTACCCTCGAGTGGGTTCCAACTCAGTGACCCTCTATAGGGTTTCTGAGCAGCAGCTGGTAGGTTTAAATCATGCTAAGCAAATAATCCGAGAAGCTGGGTTCTATGAAGAAAACTGGCATCAGGAGTCGGTTCCGAGTCGATGACACCTGACAACAACAAGCAGCAGTACTTGACAGGGAACTGGATTCCAAAAAGAGCATGCTAGTTGGGACATCACTGTTGACATCTGATGAGTCTTTGCTGAAAGTAGAACGTACCGGAAAGATATTTACTTGTGTTTTTTAGCTCTGTGGATCATGACATGTCGTAGATAACATTGCAAAGAATGGGTGTTCCAGAACAATTGATTGTACTAATGAAGAACCTGTACATAGCACAAGAGGTAGTTATTAGACATAACAAGAGGACACTGAAAGGGTTAAAATCGGGAAAGATGTGCACCAGGGCTATATTCTGTCACGATACTTATTCTGTGTGCTGAGTAAATAAGCCAAGAAGCTGGATTATAGGAAAAGATGTGTGGCATCATGATTGGAGGAATGGAGGAAGACTCATGAACAACCTGCGATTTCAGATGGTTCAACCTTGATGGCTGAAAATGAAGAGGACTTAAAATACTTCCTGATAAAGATCAAAGACCACAGCTTTCGGTATGGGTTGCACCTCAGTGTAAGAAAACAAAAATCCTCACAATTGGTTCAATAAATAACATAATGATAAATGGAGGAAAGATTGGAGTTGTTAAAGACTTCATTTTATTTGTATCCACATACAACACTCATGGAAGAAACAATCAAGAAATCAAATGATGTATTGCACTAGGCACATCTGCACAAGACCTCTTTAAAGTTTTGCAGAGATACCAGTTTGAGAACTAAGGTGCACAAGACCGCAGAAGAATTGATATATTTGAGTTATGGTGCTGGAGAAGAATATTGAAAAGTGTGATGGACTGTCAGAAGAACAAACAGATCTGTGTTAGAGGAAGTACAGCCAGAATGTTCCTTAGAAGCATGGATGGAGAGATCTTGTCTCTTATACTTTGGAGTTATCACGAAGGACCATTCCCTGGAGAAAGACATGAAGCTTGGTAAAGTGGAGGGTCAGTGAAACACAGGAAGACCCCTCAACAAGATGGATCGATGCAGTGGCAGCAGCTGTGGGCTCAAATGTAGCAATGATTGTGAGAATGGGCTGCGCATCGTTCTCGTGCTTGTAGTCTGAACTGACTCAACGATACCTATCAACAACGTTATGATAGACAGGCAGAACAAACTGCAGTTGGTCATAATAGACAGAATTCTCTCAGATGTGAGAGAAATAGCATTCTCCAGCTCTTCACATATTCATTACATTTCCAGAGT